TATATATATATATATATATAAAATATATATGTATAATGTTTTTGTACATGTGAATGCATATGTATTCGTATACTTAAAAGTGTATGTTTTATGTTAATACTATTGTATACCATTTCAGACTTCTATTTGTAAACGGTTGTACACTTCGAAACTGGTGTGTATGACTGATAAAGGTTCAATTTTGCGCACAACACAGATTCTGGCCGTATGCGGAGTGGGAAACACCATCGATATTTTCGTTAATTTTGGCGTAGCGGCTTTTTCATTGATTTTCTACTAATAGTTGAAAATAAAGGAATTAAGGAACGCGTTACAACTGCGCTTCCACTGAAAGATGATACCTAGGTCGTGTAAATATGGTACATTGATAGCGATGCAGAAATTCTTAGTCGCTCATTCAAATTCTAACCCCAAAGTAGAACTGTATATGAGCCAATCCAAATAGTCTTCGAGTCGATGTGCAACAAACGGCAGAAGGCATCGACCGGGCTTTGTATAAATCTACAACAGACTGATTACTGGGATAGCCAGGATTATAAGATGTAAGTGTGTGAATATGGATAGGTGTTAAAAATTCCCAGCCACAATTTTCTCCAGTAACCTTCGCCTTTACATTTGGTTTCGCGGCTTCTAGTTTAGCATTGATCACAGACTCGTGAACTTTTCATCATCATTTGCTCTATAGCATGCCTCAATAGGGATGACCAAGTCTTTCTGTAATTACATTCCTCCTGTTTTGCTTTCTGGATATTAGCTACTGCTGCTGCCCAATCTGGCTCACTGTGACAACCCAACGCCGCTAAAAGGACAGCTACTATCAACGTAGCTATAAAAGTATCAGGCATAATTAACAACCCATGCCTCGACATATATATTTTTACCCTACCAATTATACATGCATTTGAGAAATTCTCTGAACTTTGCAAATGGGACCTTCGCAAATACCACCATATTCTCTATTTCATTTCGTATAGACGCATTCGACAACCAGTACTAGGTCAGTTATGCTGAGCATTTCGCGTCAATTTACTTCGTTCTCAGTTCGAATACATCACGTTTTGTATCACTTTATTCTATCTATAAATGTACAATGCCGGCTTGAGCATCGGGATTGACTTACTTACGGGCACCTGCATCTGCAGCCGCTTCTGCAACATTTCCTGACGCTGCTACTATTCCAGCATCAATTGCAGATTCAGTGCATGTTTGTACATCATCTGTTCCACAGCATGCGGCAATGGGCTCGACGAAGTCTGCCTGGAAATCCGCGGCCAGTCCTTCCGTGTTGTAGCCCGCGTTGCAGGCGGCTGTGGCGGCGCAATCTTCCTCGCCGTAGCAGGCTTCTACATCTGCGGTAACAGAGGCAAGCAATGTTTCGATAGTTGCTACATAGGATGCGGCAGGGCTTATCTTCAAGAGTGGCTTGAACTCAGTGAATTTTGCATTAGTACCATCGATGAGTATTGCCTCGAGGCACTCTAAGGTGTTGGCTCCCTCTTCATAGCAGCCATTTGTGACAGCAGCCTCTTTAATAGCCGTGATGGCAGCATCACCGGCACCGGCTGGGACTTGACGGCCATAGGCGAATGCAGCAATAGCAGCAACTACAGTAGCTTGGAATTTCATCTTGGTTTATTTGATTGGATTAGTTGCTGGGCTTGTAAGGCGAAGTGTGAACTAAAGGTACTTTCTTGGTCTGCTTTTATACGCTTATTTTACTTTGGTTGGACGTTTAAAGTTGTATGATTTCGTTCGAAGCACTTTACTATTCACGCTCGGGTGTATTGGATATCGACCAACTCTGACACTATTTAGTTAGAGGCAGCCTGATTGACTGGTTGTAGACTTGTATAGTTTTATGTACCTGTGGCCTGTGGTGGTAAATATTATTTTTATTATTATAAACAAATTAAAAAAAAATCATTTTTGATCGTTAAAAAAACCCCAAAAGTTACCTTTTATGGTCAATCTTTTGGTTTCTTTTTAAAACAATATTTATTTATTTATTGTAAAAAGAAACAATCAATACAAATGTAAAGCACTTCATGTCCTCAACCAGACTATTCTTTATATTGTTTTTGTAAAAACAAATCTATTGTCAGGCGTTAGGCTTACCGTAAGCCGGAATTTGGAGAGTGCTAAATCAACAAACACAGGCCACAGCTCGCAAGCCCACACAGTCACACACAGCCAGTCTCAGAACGGCACCTCGCAAGTCGCAGGGCGCGGGCCGTACTAGAGAATAGCATAGTATTTACTACTGTATTTAGCCTATTTATTTTAGGTCGTAAAACCCATAGAATAGAGTAAATAATAAGCTGTATTTATTTACTATCTATGAAATATGTAATTCTAAGCGTATTGACCATATATGGTAGTAAATGTTTACTATATTTGGAACTCCGCACAACACTGTAAAGCAATAAAAGTAGATTATGAATGCCATTCTATTTTTTATAATAAAAAAAAATTAAATAAAAAATATAAACAATGTTCATCATACACGAGCCTTCTACTAGTGTCGTCTTCTAAATACACAGTAAACCGTAAACACAAACAGAGGGCTATGTGTTCATTGGACAAAGACCTCAGGACCGGTGGAACCGCCGGACCGTGGTCGTGGACGTGGAGTCGTGGAGTCGTGGAACTCGTGGATGATATATATTTGAGCCGTGGTATGTATGACTGTAAGTAAACAGGAAGAATCGTGGATTTTAAAAAATACAAGTAGTTTATAATAATAAAAAGTTAAGGCACTAAATATTCTGTGGTGGCCAATATTGAGAATGTAGCTTAGGTCACAGTTTTCTATTACATCGTACTTGACACGGCCCAAATAGCGCTCTATTGGACTACATCCACAATGGAACTAAGAAGGAACACTGCAATCACACCATGCTGTTCACAGATCTCTTCTATGAGAGATTTTTGATTTTTTTGAAGTCCCCGTATTGAGATAAAATACATGCGCATTAGGCATTGCACCAAGGCTCGGAGACCTTCTTGTCTCAGCTACTTTTCGAGGAAAGGGTTTCAGCTTTTATCTTCCCCTGTCAAGCGCTCCAAAAGTATTTATCGAATACCCTTCGGTGGAAGATGCTCTCGATCATCGTGCATACATTGCACAATTCTCTCATCATTAAAAATGTATTGAAAATCGTCAAGAAATGGTACAAGGCCCTTACCATCCTCGATAAGGCCACCCCTTTTTCATATTATTCTGACTTACAACTAAACCATCCTCTGGCATGCGGTCGTGGTTTGAACTGTTGTCGAAGACAATGGCTACTATATCGCGGGCCAAAGATTCTTCACTATTGGTGTGTTTCTCGCCTCTAACTGTTTAGCAAAGAAGCACCACCCTCATCACTAATCAACTCTACATCATCAGCTTCAAACTCTTCATCGTGTATAACTGCAGTGAACTTGTTTGTTGGTCTGTCTCAGAAGTTGTGTCTCTTCGCCTTGCCACCACTCAAGTGCCTTGACTCGTTCGTGAACATGCTTATCGCAACAGAAAAGGCCAAAGACAAGTGTGCACACATAATACTTATAGTATAGTAACAGAACGGCTACGTCTCATAATAGTGTTTTCTAACTTAGCAAGTGACAACACATGTCGATGGGGACTCTTGGATGATTGTCGGGTATCTTGGGGTATTAAACTATACCATAATCGACCCTAAAAGTGTCTGATATCGACTCAAATAGTGTATATAAAGTAATATCCAAAACGTTCATTTTTAAGAATTTTTGGTTTTGGTGGAGCTCGAACCTAGCATATTTTTGAAAAAGTTTCCGGGTGATTTTTCAAAAGCAGGTCAGTACAAGCCGTTCCCGCTCTCTAACTCTCTCGATGGGGTTACTTATAATTACTTCGAGCTCTGCCAAAGTTCGGGTTTGAAGTAATGTGATGTACATCCGACTGCACCATATAGATAATAAAATAATTAGAAGCTACAACTTGCAAGCCCAATAGTGTTTTTTAATTATCCTCAGGCAACCAAAGCTCTTAATAATTTTGTAAGAGAGCAATGCATTTAATTTAGCAATCATGGAATCACAGCCAAAAAAAAAAGTCATGCTGTTGTCACAGGGTAAAAAGGATGCATAGGCGTTAGGGAATAAACTTACATTTTTGGCACACTGTAATTACACACTCAAAACACGACAATACACTCATATCGTACTGGCTATTTAATCTACTATCCCTCTTGTACAAAGATGGCTTTCTGTATGCTTTTCTTATCGTTCCTATCAGCAAGAGTCACTTATAAATACCAGGTAACTACGAACCCCGATCAGGAAGCTATGTCTTTCTGTCCTTGTAAAGTGTTAACGAGCGAAGGGCATAGGCATTCATGTCAGTATATAATTTTGTAATATCTCTTTCAAATAAGGTAGTACAATCATAACATTTTATCGCTGCGTATTAGGCCGAATCTCCTTCAAACGAGGTCGTGATTTCTCAAGTAGAATATTTATATATACCTTTCTCACTTTACTGGTTTTATGGCCAAGGTACGGTTGTATTCTTCAAAGACTATAGAGCATGTTTCGGTATACGCATATAATTTTGGTGTGATTGCTTGGTAGCTGCTCTATATCGATTTGGTATAAATACAAGCTGTACGTTTTCATTGCCTTTTGACCATTTTAATGGGCCACTACACCTATTGCACAGCGCTTATGCTGTGACTGTAAGGTCTAAAAAAATCATTTTGACTATCGCACTGTTTAACCCCTGCGTGTTGAATATCGCACTATTAGAAACCCTTTGAATTATGGCATTCTGAAAGCAGGCAATTTTCTTCATTGAAGGAACAAACAATACAGCGATGGTGTAACTATTAATAGTAAGCTACTGGAGTGTATTACAGATCTATAAGAGTTCTACACTCAGAACATCTACTAAACAATAGTCTAACGATGCTAACGATAATATGTACCCGAACCGTAGCACATATCTAGGTGATTTTGTAAAACGATAGATCTTTCCATTTCGTCTCATCAGTAAAGTCCTTCATTGTTTTAAAAATAAAATACATTCACTATAAGCTACAAAATTGGCTGTCTACCGCATAAGGCGCATGTAAAGTTTGTAAACGGTAAACGCTCTCAGTTTCTCTTTAAACCAGTAAAACCACAAAGTCCAGGCTTCATTTGGTGGCAAACAAAAACCTAAGTGGAATGCAGAAATCGTCAGGAACCAATTTTATGTAGCATACACTTATCGGGCTTTCAGTTGTGGCTTCACAGTTCAAGAGTTGCGAATTTCGGAATTTGACCAGAGATGTTTATACATAGTATACTTCCCCCTCGGGCCCCTCCTACTATGTAGGACCTCCGGAGCATCAGGACTCCAAGAGGCTGGAGTTTGGCAATTGAATTTACAACTTTACTTTCACCGGCTTAGGAGTCAGGACTCGAGACTTGGCCAATCAGGTCACAGCTCAACTGCTCAACTCAGTGAACTCACAACTGACAACTAGCTCGTTGTACGATTTGTATGGCGGAACATTTTACATTGCCATGTTTCCAGTTTCAGAGCACATATTCAGTGATAATACTGATTTCCACAGTACATAAAATATTTATTTTTCTAACAATGTATAAATATGTACAAAACATTGTTTATTTTTCATCTTTTTATTCCTTTTGTACATATTGATTTTTTATTTTTTTGGTTTTATGTGGAAAAGCTCAAAAGCAGGTTAAAGAGTCGAAGACTCGAAGGACGAAGGGACAAAGACGCAAAGTCCCAAAGAGAGAAAAAGACAACGCGAACAGCTCAATTGAATAAACTGGTATTATGTACATAGGTAAAAAAAATGATTCTGTAAAAAAATATGTATCTATATTTTTAAATATCTAACCCGAAGCGTTTGTGTACAAAAGCAGGTAGACGAATACTATTCACACTGCAAACTCACAGCTAAGTATTGAGTTTAATATATCAGACGAAGATGAAGGTCCAATCGCTTATCATTGCTGCCATCGCCGTATCGGTTTCGGCCGTTACTTCCGATGAGGCTCTTAAGGCCGTTCTCGGAGATCCCATTGAGGATCTTAAGGCCGGTGCTGTCAACAGTGGTTGCTATGACGCGGAAGCCAACACTCTGGAGTGCCTCGAGAAATTGCTGATCAATAGTGTTAATACAAAATTTACAGAATTGAAGCCCCTTCTGAATCTTTCCCCTGCAGCTTCGCACGTCGCTACTATCGACACATTGCTTGCCACTGCTACAACAGAAGTCGAAGCCTGCTACGGCGAGGCAGATTGTGCCGCTACCGCCGCCTGCAACGCGGGGTACAACACGGAAGGACTAGCCGCAGATTTCCAGGTGGACTTCGTTGAACCTATTGTCGCATGCTGTGGAACAGAGGATGTACAAACATGCACTGAATCTGCAATTGATGCTGGAATAGTAGCAGCGTCAGGAAATGTTAAGGAAGCGGCCATAGAGGCGGATGCCCGTAAGTAAGATATTCTAGATGCTCAAGTCGGCATAGTTAAGTTCCAAGACCTAATATATTCCAACGGAGAACGAATTGAAATGAATTAAACAATGTACCATTTAACAACTGTGTCCGCATAAGAAGAAATGATAATGACAAAGAATGTTGTTTGCGAATGTCGCATTTGCAATGGTCACAGAAGATAGTCAGTTGCATCGTTAGTAGAGATAAGAAGCTAACACTGGAGTGAATTGAAAAATTCACCATTTAAACTGTATCAATGACGCCTACAGATATTAAAGACCTTACTACGCATTACCCTTGATACTACCTCAGTATGATTGATAACTTAGCAGCGGAGGGTTCACACGGTATGGAAGGTTGTAAAACTATAGTAGCTAGCATAGTAGAGAGCAAGACAGGGGGAATATCAGCTGAAGAAAGGATAATATTAAAATCAGAATTGCGAGAGTTCACTGAGCCTGTGATCGACACCAAATTAGCAATTTAAAAAACGAAATGCCAAGGCGGATGTTCGAGGGACAAATAGTAGCGGGGAATCGTGTGACTATACTATCACGAAGGTTGTGAAGGAACTAGCTTGCTGTATTGTTTCAGTTTCCTGCTACGGAGCAAATCGGCCCTTTTCAATGGAAAGATAAGCAAATGTAAGGAGGAATACCACTTTATGTGAACTGATCCAGTTTCCTGCCATTGAGGAAACCGGCATTTGACATTTTTAATCGATAATGTTTGGTGAGTATGTGTATGAAATGATGCATACTAGTATCAGAAGCTGCACGATCCGAGCGGTTGTGAATTATAAAACCAGCGTTTCATTCCACACCACGCCACACAAAAAAACTAAATGGCCAGTACGATGCAAAATGATCCAGTAAATAGAATGATTTCAAACTGAAGACTTTTCAACTTTTCGCATTTGTTACTTGTATAATATATTCTTTATTTAAAAACATTAATATAATATCACTGAAAAGGTCCCCACATCAATTGCGATGCCCACTCAGTATACGACAGCAGTATTCGATGTGAATACTCACTACTTATACACACAAGTTTTTGAAGTATAAAAATACAT